GAGGCTCTGTCTCCGCTAGGGAAGCCAGATGAACCAAGATGTGGGCAGGTGGTTCCAGGAGGCTCTTGACAAGCTCAGCTTCCCAACAGCTATAAACAACAGCTCCTTAATTTATCGGGCACCTTCTTCCTTCAGCTCTGTCTCCTCCCTGCAAAGGCTCGCAACCACCCTGTGAAATGAATAGGGCAGGAAACTATATGCCCACTTTACAGATGAAAAAGCTGAGGCTCAGGGGGTGAAGAGTGCCCCCCAGGGCGTCACGGCCACTGGAGGGCAGAGCTGGCTGGGAGCCCACGACTCCAGGCCCGGCCCCCTCCCCTTTCCCCCTCCTTGGGCGCCCAGAGGCTGTAACCCCTGCCCCTCCTGGGGCTGTTCAGTCTTTTTCAGGAAGCTGACCTACGGGGTGCACCCTGTGGACGTGGCCGAGGAGGTGATGCGCACCGTGAGAAGGAAGAAACAAGAGGTCTTCATGGCCAACCCCATCCCCAAGGCCGCCATGTACATCCGCACCTTCTTCCCAGAGTTCTTTTTTGCTGTGGTGGCCTGTGGGGTGAAGGAGAAACTCAATGTCCCAGAGGAGGGCTAACTGCTGGAGGCCAGATGGGTCACCTCGATGGGAATAAAGGCTTTCCTGGCAAGGTGCTGGTCCTCTGTCCTCTCAACATGGGGGCCCAACTCGAGCCATGTCCCTAACCTATACCTGCCTATGTGTTCTCCACCCCAGTAAGGATGGCCCGGATGCCAGCCCAGTCTCTGCAGGGTCTCTGGGTCTCTACTACTTGACATTCCCAAGGCACACTTCCAGAAGCTTCCCGACTCCGTAGGGCGACACCGAGCAGAAAAAGAGGAACCATAATGGGTCCAACCCCCATATAGACATGCATGCACGCATGCACGTGCACACGCATGCATGCATACACATGCACGCACGCACACGCATGCATACACAAGCACCCGCACACGTGCATGTACGCGCACACACGCATGCATACACGCATGCATGCATACACATGCACGCACATGCATATACATGCACGCACACACGCACATGCATGCATACACATGCACGGACGCACGCATACACATGCACACACGTGCGCAATGCATGTATACACATGCACACACATGCATGCATGCACATGCACGCACACACACATGCATACACATGCACACGCATGCATGCATACACATGCATGCACACACGCATGCATACATGCACGCACACACGCATGCATACACATGCACACACACGCATGCATGCACGCACACACTGTGCCCATGAGCCCGCTCAGGAACTTAGGAAGCCACCTCCAGTTTATACAAGACTGACCTGCCCGTGTCAGCCTCCATCAGAAGCAGGACTTGGCAACCCTCCAGGGCAGCCCTGCCAAACAGAACTTTCTGGAACGGTGGAGATACTCGATCATCTGCATTGTCCAAGGTGGTGGCCATGAGCCACAGGTGGTTGTTGACCTCTGGAAATGTGGCCTGTGTGCCAGCGAGGCTGAATTCTGAATTTTATCTCATTTGCAGGAATGTGAATTGAAACAGCTGCACGTGGCTAGAGGCTCCCACGTTGGCTGCACGCGGCAGAATCCGCTTCTTGCCTGGAATTAGTGGGTCCGAGGAGGGCCCCAGCACAGCTGTTTTTAAAACATTCCTCAGTTGATGCTAAGGTGCCCTGGGGGGTTATCTACCTCACGCCAGCCTTTTGATGCATTCTCAAAGCGAAACTCACTCAAAACCGGCATTCTGGTTATTGGTGGGCATCTCTCTGACACAAAACAGTTTTTCTTTTCTTACACAAAACAGTTCATGATTCTTGGGATTTTGGAAAAGCATATGGTATTTTTTTTGCACTAATATCGTAACTGCTGACTCAAACTTTTCCAATATTTATAAATGAAAGAGGGTTCAAATGTCCCCCTGCCGGACCTAAGCCGTTTACAAAGTTGACATATATACTGAACACACAGGCACGTGTACAAACCCAAATCTAAGCAGCGAAATGCCCAGGGTCATGTGATCACTGTGGATCTGAGCCCACCCCAGGATAAGGCTGATGGTCAGGATGTGGCGCCAGAATTTAGGAGGGTCAGCTGAGCAGCAGGTAGGGCAGGCTGGGAGTCAGCCTTCTGTCTTTGGGGGTTTTTATTCCTGTTGCTGGAGGATCAGGAGCTATAGCAGTGCTCGGGCCAGAACCAGCGAGAAAAACAGCTGCAGGAAACCGGAAACCTGGTTGGTGGGCACAGAGAGAGATGCGCCTTCGGGGCAGGAAGCCCGGGAGCCATGAGGACTCCAAAGGGGGGCGGTTTAGAACTCCGACCCTGGGACTCCCCCGGAGAAGCCATATGCAGAACAAGGCAGGAAGAAGGACCTCCTGTGTCTGTGATCCCGTGTCTGTTCCGATGTCCCCCTGCCCACTGGCTGCCCCGCAGATGAGGAGGTCAAGGCCCTGCAAGAGGACGCAGCCTCAGCAGGACTGACTGGCCAGCACCCCAAATGCCCTGAAGTTGAATTTCCTGTCCCTGTACTTTGGTTTCCCTCCGGCTGGCTGGCCCCTATTGCCTTTCAGATGTCCCTGTGTCCACTCGGAGTCTGCTGCCCTCTGGCGATGGGGTATCTCACCGCCTAGCAAAGGAAAACCCACTACCCTTCCTGAAACAGAGGGGGAGAAATTGAGTAAGTTGGGGGTTGGGGGAAGTGTCATGCAATATGTGGAGTGGCCACCAGATGTCACTGTGGCTCTTACATCCACCTTCTCTCCACTGACTCCCCGCACAGCCCAGGTGTAATCCTGCAAAATTCCGGGCAGGTCCCAGTTTCCAATGAGCATCCCCCTCTGGGACCTTGTTTGGACTTCAGGAAACTTGAGTCGCTGGCAGGGCTGACAAATCCACTTCACAGATGAGGAAATTCAGTGTGACCGTGCTCTGTGAGATACTCAGGGCAGAACAGGGACAGCTTGGGGACGGTTAGGGGACTGGACTGAGTCAGAGTCACGGAGGCCAGTGACCATCCCAGACCACAGAGTGATGCTGCAGGACCCCTAGCTCCCCCCTAGTCCTAGTCCCTTTGAAATGCGACCTTACTTGAAAATAGGGTCATTGCAGATGTAACTGGTTAACATGAGGTCAGACCGGAGTAGGTCAGACCCCTAATTCAAAGTGACAGTCGTCCTTATGAGAGCGGTGTGAAGACAGACACACAGGGAGAGTGCCACGTGATGACCAAAACAGAGACTGGACTGCTAGAGCTACAAGCCAAGGAATGCCAAGGATTGCCAACAACCACCAGGAGCTCGGATGAGACCAGGAGGGAAGAGCTCTCCCCTATGGGTTTCAGAGGGAGCACGACCCTTCCACCCCCTTGACTGCGGACTTCTGGCCCCCTGTGTTGTCTCACAATACGTTCCTGTTGTTTTAAGCCCCCGAGTTCGTGGCAATTTATTACAGCAGCTCTAGAAAACAAATACACCCCACTTGAGTGTACATCTGTTTCCAGCCTGGATCTTGACTGATAGCCAATGCCCAGAAGAAATCTGTGAGGCTCCCTTGGGGACAGTCAAGAACTGGAAGAAATGGGGCCAATCTCTCAAGGAGACACGAGCACCCTCTAGGTATGCTTACTACTGAGCCCAAAGAACTAGCAGCTCTGTATGTCATCAGAGAATCAAGTAGCACTTAACCAGAGGGCCCTACTTGTTCCAAAGTTGCTAGTGGGGTTTCCAGACACCAAAATAAAGCCCTCTAGGGTTCAACTGTCCATCTCCAGAATATTCCAAGCAAGCGTACTCAGTGTCATCAGCAGAGGAGTTGGCTGTGAGGGCAGGGCTGAGGATGGAGGGTCAGAAACACAGAGGCTGGTGCCCTGGAGGAGGAGCATCCAATCAGCATGGTGGGCCAGGTCCAGGGCAGGAGGATGGACCCCAGGTCAGCCGCCTAGCAGCAACCAGGCAGATGTGGTCTCCTGAGCCAGGAAGGACCCCGCCAGCTGCCAGCCCCTTTCACCCTTCCTGAAAATAGATGGTCTTCTTGGACTTGGGATCCCTCAAGGGATGGTGGAGACATAGGAATCAGAGTGGGTCACCCTGGTTGTCCTGGGCCTCTCACACTTGTTACCACCCCATCTCCCATTTGAATCCTTGAGAATTCAGTAATGACTTTGGGGGTTACATGTGGCATAAACTCAACTCAAACATCTACTCACCTAAGTCACTGGAAATCCTATTTCAGGCATGGCTAGATCCAGGCAACCAAATGGCGCCACGCCACCAGGATTCAGTCTTTTTGTTTGTTTGTTTCTGCATTTTTGTTTTTTTTTTTTCCTCATCTCTCAGAAACATATTCTCCTGGGTAGGTTTCACTCTCAACAGATTCCCCCCTTCATCAGGACAAGATGAACACCAACATTTCCAGGCTCACGCCCTACCTGCTTAAAACCTAAATAGAGAGAGATTCCTCTTTCCCAGTAGTTCAAACTAAGGTACTGACACCCACTAGGGCCATGTGATCATCTTGAAATCACCACCACGTGTCAGATTACCCAGGCCTGGGCCACGTGTCCATTCTAGGGCAGGAGAAGAGGACAGATGTGCAAAGCTATAATATAAACAAAAAGGTCCGGAAGGGGTCCACCTCCACGGCTTACGGGTCGGGTGATGGGCGACATGTTACATGGCTTTTGCAACATTAATGTCATTGATAAAATGGGGACAAATCTAGTGCTTATTTCACAGCATCTTGACTATCTGAAGGTAAAGGGGTACTCATGACAAGTGTTCAGCCCCACACCATCAACATCAGAGAGCTGTTCTTACAGCATCCTGCTGTAAGACCCATGGGCCATACACGTCAAATACAGGGGTCACATAAATAAGGATGAGAAAGGGCATTGTAGGCAAGGGTACCCAGTGATGGGGACAGACGGCCTCTGACACCTGACTGATTTCCCCTCCCTGGCTCTGGAGTCTTGTTAAGTCTTATTCTGGAGAATCGATCACAGTGAATTAGTGAAAAAGACCGACCTAAAGAAAAGTTGAAAGTAATGAGCCAAAACAAAACACTGACACTAACTTGAATAAGTCCTTAGGAGTACTTTTATTATTTATGTGTTTTATTTTAAATAGCGTCCAGTGAGAACCTACCACGTGCCAAAGGCTACAGACACTGCAAAGATAAAACAAGGCTCAGGCTTTGGTCTCAAAGAGATCCCAACGAACATGACTGCCTAAGATTGACCAAAATGCCTTACATCAGTGTGTCCATTAATTTTATTATTTCATAACTAACTTGCCCATTTCTTTTTGCTTTTTATAATTATCAAATGGATACATGTTCACTCTGGAAAAGTCCCATGCAGAAAAGTATAATATTGAAAATGGAATCCCCACCACCTCTCAGAATTCTGGCCCTTACATATACAATTAAGGAAATACATAAGTAAGGAAGAAAAAAAGCCAAGTTAGTGGGTAGATGGCTCTCCAGTCTTTTTTTTTTTTTTTTTTTTAAGCATCATACTATACCATACTGTTCCACAGCTTGTTTTTTCTCTTAGAGGTTTATCTTGGGCGTCTTCACTATGTGCATATATGAAGGTCCACTTCCTTCTCTCCTTGTAGTTGACATGCTGAAAATCCCTATAAATATCATTTTATAAAGTAATACATCAAAACACAAAGAGAAAAAAATAACAGAAGGCTATAACGTGAAAAGTAAAATTCTACATCTTATCTCTCAACTCACAATCCCAGTCCCTGAGGTAGCTACATTTTTTGTAAACTCTTTGATTGAAGCATGTGATACACGTGGAGAAAAGTGCCCGGAGATTAAGCAGACAGGTCAGTGGGTTTGTGCAAGAAGAAGACACCTGCTCAACAGCACCCAGAACAAAAAGCAGAACATTACCAGTACCTCCAAAATGCCCGTTTAATATTGCCCATTTGTCTCCATTCCCTTTTAAATAACAAAAATTGGTATAGAACACTTGAAAGTAAAACAGACACAGAGTATAAAAAGTCAGAGTGTAACTGACTCAGAGTATAATGGAGAACTACAGTCTTATACCCCAGCTCTTCCCTTCTCCGGAGTCCACGTCTTGGGGTCACCCACCCTCGCCTCTTTGAAGCTTCCTTAGTCTTCTGATTCTTACCACTGTGTAGACCCAACCTAGGCCAACATGTCACATTACACGGGATGTGACAAATCCCGTTCGTAGAATGACATTAATTTAAACCCAAAGTGAGCCACTTGCTGTAATCAAGACAATGTGTATTGTTGAAAAGTAAAAACAGAGCAAAGATTCCAGAAACACACGCACTTAATATGGCCCATTAAGACAGAGGTGCAAAAGCAACTCGAAGGAGAAAGGATAGTCTTTTCAACAAATGCTGCTGGAATATTCAAACTCTGTATGCAAAAAAAAAAAAAAAAAGTATCTCAATCGAAATTCTCATACCTTATACAAGATTAATCCAAAATGAATCATAGATTAAAATGTAAAACTATAAAACTTTTTGTTTCACGAAAACAGAAAATCTGGGGGACCTAGGGTTAGGCAAAAAAGGTTTTTGACATGACCAAGAGCAAAAACTCTAATTTTTTAAAAAATAAGTTGGACTTCATCAAAATGAAAACATTTGCCCTGTGAATAACACTTTTAAGAGAATGAAAAGACAAGCTACAGTTTGCATTAAAATGTTTGCAAACTATGTATCCCACAAAGGATTTGTATCCAGCATATATAAAGAACCCTCAAACTCAACAATAGGAAAACAACCAATCCCAAAAGTGGACAAAAGACTTGAACAGATACTGAATCAAAGAATATATATGGATGAAAAATAAGTCCATGAAAAGTTATTCATTGTCATCCATCATCCTAGTCATGCAAATTAAAATCACAGAGAAATACCACTCTTTTACCTGTTAGAATGGTTAAAATTAAATATACAACCTTAAGTGCTGACAAGGACACAGAGCAACCAGAATTCTCATACGTTGCTGGTGGGAGTACAAAATGGTGCAGCCACTTTGGAAAACAGTTTGGCAATCTCTTAAAAGCTAAACCATGCACATACCATGAGACCCAATGATCCCACACCTAGGGATTTGCCCTCCAGAAACAAACATATGTTCATACAGACACATGTACATAAATGTTCATAGATGCTCTATTTATAACTGCTTAAATATGGAAGCAATCCAACTTTCTTCAACAGGTGAATGACTTAACAATGTAGCTCATCCATACAATGAAACACTATTCAGAAAAAAAAGAACCAACTATTGATACATGCGGTAGGCAGGAGCTTACACGAATCACAAAGGCATTTTAAGTGAAAAAAAAGCTAGTCTCAAAAGGTTGCGTATTGTATGAATCCCTTTATAGGACCTTCTCAAAAAGATACAATTATAGAGAAGAAATCAGTGATTGCCAGGGGTTGGGGGGCATTTGGGAAGAAAGAAGGAGGACTATGAAGGGATAACACAAGAGAGATTTTGCGGGGGGTGGGGGGGTGATTTGGATTGTTCTGCATCCTAAATGTGGTGGTGATTACGTGAACCTGTGCACGGTTAAAATGCAGAGATCATACACGTTCCCCGTAAAAGTTCACTTTACTGCATGATAATTCTTAAATTTTAAAGAGTGAACCCAAAGTTCTAGCTGATGAATAACTCTTGTAAGCAACAGGTGATCTGAGCCAATTGTCACGTGACATAGCAACTATATTTCATTAGTACTATGGTTTTTAAAAATATATTCTTAAGGAAAAAAATATATAGCTGCCAAGTGGGCTATGACATAATGCTGAGATGCCATCAATGTGAGACACATCCCAATTTCAGAGATGGTGAAGTGTGAAAACAGGCATGCCCAGAACCAATGAAATAAAGTATTTCTTTTAATGAAGAAACTATTGCTCAGTCATTTATGGAGAAGCATGCTAGTTAGGGTTTTCCTCTATGACTGCTCATGATCCCAAGGCCATCTTGGACAAAGTTACAGTCCCCTTGCAGATGCCCTTGCTTAAAACTTTTCTCCCTCTTTTCCCTGAACAGAGAATAGCAGTGGGAAGGGTAGCAAGTCATATATTTAGAATGTCACTCACCCTTTTCTGAGACCTGACTCCAGCTGCCTGCTCCCTAGACAAAGAACAGGGAAGATGGTGAGAACTCCCATGGTCTGAAATGACATGAGGCCAAGCAGAGGGCCAAGCTCTGCTGTAAGCCTGAGGTTCTGTCCACCTGCACAGGGTGGCTGCCATGGCCTGGTGGTTGAGACCATCTGCTGCGGAAACAGTAAGACCTGGACCCTGTCTTGGCCTCTTCAGCATTGTGCAATCTCAGGCGAGTCACCTGGCCTCCCCAAACCTCCACTTCCTCAGCTAATTTTTTTTTGTTTTTTTTTTTTTAATTATGGTAAGAACAGTTCACAATTTGTTCGGAGATCTACCTTCTTAACAAATGCTTAGGGTACTATACAGAATTGTTGGAGATAGGGACAATGTTGTACAGCACATCTCTAGGGCTAACTCCTCTTGCTTAAATGAGACTTTATGCCTGTTGATTAATACATCCTCATTTCCCCCTCCCCCAGCTTCTGACAACTACCATCCACTCTTTGATTCTATGAATTTGGCTATTTTAGATACTTCACTTAGGGAAATGGAAGTTCTTGCTTCCTGGGGACTGATGCAGGGATTAACATTGATGATTAATACATGAAAAGAGTGAAGGGAGGTGCTTGCTTCTACAAAACTCTTGCCAAAAAGCATTCCAGGGATAGACACAAAAGGCTGTAAATAGGGGTGATGGCTAATCCTATATGTCATCTTGGCTGGGCCACAGGGTGCCCAGAGATTTGGTCAGACATTATTCTGGGTGTTTCTGGAAGGGTGTTTTTGGATGATATTTACATTTAAATGGACTCTGAGTAGAGTAGATCACCCTCCATAATGTGGGTGGGCCTCATCTAATCAGTTGAAGGCCCAAATAGAACAAAAGGCTGCCCTCTCCAGAACCAGCCTCCTTCCTGAGTCTCCAGTATGTCACCCTCCCCATTCATGTGAGCCATTTCTTTGAAATAAATCTCTTCATATATATACAAGCATCTTATTGATTCTGTTTCTCTGGAGAACCCTGACTGACAGATAACATCTGTAAGCCAAAGAAGAGTTCTCTTTCACTTCACCCCTTAGTAAAGGGGTATATTCATAGTATATTAGTGATAATATATACTTAGTAGTCTATCAGTGACAATATGGAACAATATTTTCCCCAAAGAGTGCCTACAAAGAGAAAGTAAGATCTGTGCCTTACATAGTCTTGTCCACACTCTGTGCCCCCCTGTATAGGAAACACACAAGGAAAAGAGAAAGAGGGCAAAGAGAAGCAAGAAGGTAGAGGTGTTGCATCTTGGCACAGGTAAGAGCTCCTTGAGGTCTGCAAACCCTAACTTCTTACAAATGCAGGGAAGCCAGTATGACCTCCCAGGCCACTCCTCGGCGAGGCAGCCCATCCAAGTCAGTGAAAACTAAAAGAAAGGGTATCCTTTTAGGAAGCCAGGGTCTGTTTCCTCACCTTGATTCTAGTCTAATCATCAAGGGCAATTCAGAAGAAATTGAATCCCTCTTCCATTTGGTACCCTTTCAATAACTGGTAGACTACCGTCCCAGCTCATGATTCTCCTCACCAGGCTTTGTTTAAAATCCCCAACTTCTCCAACCCTTGCCCATACAACATGGTTTCCAGTCCCCTCACCACCCACCTTTCGAATATGGTAACAATTTGCTAATGTTCCTCTTAACACAAGGCCCCAGGAGCTCAAAGCACGGTCCAAATGTGGTTTGACTAGCCCAGAAGATGCAAGGATGCTTCTGCCTATACAAAGCTGTGCTTACAGAATTGACTTTTTAAACCTAAAACTAAGTTGGATACATGGATCGATGTTACATTTCACCCTTGAGATTGTGTCAGCTCATAACTGTTGAAGGAAAAAATGTCTGCAAGATTGGTCTGTGCCTCCATCAAGCTATGGATAAAGTAAGCCAGAAATGGACAGCACAATGGCTTGAGCCCCATAGCATCTCTGTCCTTATTTGATGCCACTGTTGAGACCATGAGCAAGAAAATAAATTCTCCTTTTGAAAGCTTTCAATATTTTCTTTCTTCTTTTCTCCAGTCTCAGAATGGTTGACCCTCAATCCTATTCTCCTAGTCTCCATATACACCTGTCATGGTCATCTCTCAGCTGAATCATATTTCATCTGTCAGGGTGTGACTGTGGCCAAGGCAAATAATCATGCCCTTTTCACAGCTGCGAATGGGCTGGAGTGGACCAGATGCATTCCAAATTCCCTTCTAATTTTATGGTCCTTTAGATCTGTGATATCTTAGGTCCCGGTATCTGTTTGACAAGCTCCTCCCACCCACCCACCCACCCGCCCAAATCTACTCACCGGTCAGAAATATCTGCTGCCCTCCTGGCTCCCACAAGGGTCCTTGAGCAGAATCTGACCAAGTTGTGGGTCAGAGCAGGAATTTTGTTTCCTCTCTTCTTTTTGGCTGTCTGAAAATAATCACAAGATATCATTTAGAGTGAGTGAATGGTTCTAGGCATACGAACATTCTAAAGAGAGCTGAGCCAGTGGATCTGTCTACTTAGAATACCAACTTGAATCCAATCAGTAAAGTTTTTGGGTTTTTTTTTAAGTTTGGGGAAGGTTGGCAGAATTTAATAATGCATCTTTGGGTCTTCATAATGACATATAGCTAGTTTGACTGGATATTTTACTTCTCAATAACCTAAGTTAAGTTATTTCATGGATGAAGCTCAAAGAGGCAAGCCTGCTATGAGACAAAGGACCTGATCTGAGCTCAGTGAATGTGCAGCCCTGGGCAAGTCACTTGAACTTCTGGTCCTAGTTTCTTCATCTACAAAACAAGAGCCTCAGAGTAGACCGACCTCAAGGCCTCTTCCAGCCCCTGGTCTCACTGTTAACAGAATGAAGAGACAAGGGGCGCCTGGGTGGCTCAGTCATTAAGCATCTGCCTTCAGCTCAGGTCATGATCCCAGGGTCCTGGGATTGAGCCCCGCATCAGGCTCCCTGCTCAGCGGGAAGCCTGCTTCTCCCTCTCACACCCCCCCGCTTGTGTTCCCTCTCTCGCTGTGTCTCTCTCTGTCAAATAAATAAATAAAATCTTTAAAAAAAAAAAAAAAGAGGGGCACCTGGGTGGCTCAGTGGTTAAGCATCTGCCTTTGGCTCAGGTCATGATCCCAGGGTCCTGGGATCGAGTCCCACATCCGGCTCCCTGCTCAGCGGGAAGCCTGCTTCTCCCTCTCCCACTCCCCCTGCTTGTGTTCCTGCTCTCGCTATCTCTCTCTCTGTCAAATAAAAAAAAAAAAGAATGAAGAGACAAGACACAAACCAGCAGAAAATATTTGTAAATCACCTACCTGAGGGAGAACTTGTATCCAAAATACATAAATATCTCTCAAAACTCAACAGAAATACAAACAACCCAATTCAAAATGTGTGAAATGTTTGAACAGACACTTTACCCAAAGAGATAGAAGGTAGCTAAATAAGCACGCGAGAAGACTTTTAACATCCTAAGGCAACAAGGAAATCAAAACCAAAGTGAGACATCACCATACACCTAACAGAATAGCTACAGTTAAAAAGGCTGAACCATACTAAGATTGGTGAAGATATGGAGCAACTGGAACTCTCATTCCCTGCTGGTAGAAGTGGAAAATGCTATAACCACCTTGGAAAACAGTGCCACCGTTTCTTAAAAAGTTGAAACATGCACCTCGCTTTTGACCTGGCCATTCCATTCCTATGTACATCTCCAAGAGAAAGGAGAGCATATGTCCACCCAAAGACTTGTACACGAATATTTAGAGCAGTTTTAGTAACAACCAAAGAAGTGGAAACAACCCAAAGGTCCACCAACTGGATGAATGGATAAACAAACTATGGCATACCCATGCAAGGGAAAACTACCCAGGCATAAAAACAAGTCAACTATGGATTCATGTATCAACATGGATAAATCTCAAAAAATTATGCTGAATGAAAGAAGCTAGAAGTGCATACTGCATGATCTTTTTTTAATATAGTATTTTAGAAAGTGCAAGTTGATCTGCAGTGACCTAGTGACAGAAAGCAGATGCATGATTGCTTGGGGACAGAGGGGAGCAGCTGGGGTACAGGGAGCAAGGGAGGGAGAAATTACAAAGGGATTTGAGGATACTTTGGGGAGTGATAATACATTTATTATCATGATGGTGGTGATAGTTTCGTGGAGATAGGTGTCAAAGCATATCAAATTGTACACTTTAAGTATGTGTTTATTGTATAATAACTATGCTTCAGTAAAGCTGTTTATAAATGAAAATTTTTAAAAACTTTAAAGACTTCAGGAGGAATTAGAAATTCATACTACGAGGGGCGCCTGGGTGGCTCAGTCATTAAGCGTCTGCCTTCAGCTCAGATCATGGTCCCAGCGTCCTGGGATCAAGCCCCACATCGGTCTCCCTGCTCCACGGGAAGCCTGCTTCTCCCTCTCCCACTCCCCCTGCTTGTGTTCTCTCTCTCACTGTGTCTCTCTCTGTCAAATAAATAAAATCTTAAAAAAAAAAAAAAAAAAAGAAATTCATACTACAAAAATAAAAATCCACAGATTACTTCCTCGTTGCGAGGGATGAAATGGAATGCACCATGGAGCATCAGTCAGTCATCACCATCATGGAGTGGTAAATGTCAGCACATAGTTAGGCAGGGTCGACCAGATATTATGTGTCTTATGATGGACACAGTAAGAATACCAAACCTCACCTATGAGGTGTACTAACAGAAATCCTTAACATGAAGACTGATGATGTTAAACCCTCAAATCCAATTCCAGGTATAGGGTACCAGGGATAAAGGAATAAGCCAAGGGACACCCTGAGGAAGCACCATCCAGAACGGGGGACATCTTTTGTTTAACTGGCCTGTTCTCATCAGCAGGCCAGTGTGGTGAGAAAAAGGGATGAGGTTAGATTGGGAGCTTTAGAAGACCTAACTCCAGATACAAAGTGTGGAGCTGGATTCTGGAAAGGGAACTGGGACCCAATTGTGGAAATCTGAATATAGCCCAAATACTAGAGAAGACGGAAAGGTATTGCCATGGGAAGGTGAAGATCATTAACCATAAAATGCAGGGTACAAGACATACACACATGGAAAGACAGAGCTTTGGCATTAACGGCAATTTTGGGGTGGTGGGAATTTTAAAATTTTTGTTTATCTGTATTTTATAATGATCTAAAATGCACATAACACTACTTTGAGGGCAGGAAGATTTTTTTTTAATTAAATAAGAGCCTCAAGAATTATTTTCATGAGTGTGCTTCATGAAAACATGAAAGTGAGGCTTAAGCGTTCCCCCAGTCATGAGTTCCTGATTGGGACCTTGGATCAGAGTTGTTTTGTATCTGTCTACTGACCTGGAACATTGAACTTGATCCGAAATGGAGTAAAACCAGACCACACAAGATGTACACTTGCTTCAAATGGCACATTTACTATTCTGGGGTAAGCAAAGGTTGTATACTGCACACACACACACACAGGGCACCTCATTCTCTCTGAGGTTGAGCAAGAAAACTGCCCAGCTCTGTCCTCTGCTGGGATCATGGCATGCTGGACTCAGGGGATCCAAGAGCCCCTTATGTAACTTGGTACTTAGACCTGAGATAAAAACGTCATTTTGGGGGGCATTTTCCAAGAAAAAAACTAAACCTCTCCCAGTAAAACTATGGTGGTAGTTCTCACAGTGTGGTCCTCAGAAAAACAGCGTCACCCAGGACTTAGAGATACGAAATCTCGGGCTGTACCGCAGACCTGCTGAATGGGAACCTGGGGGGCAGGGCCTGGTGATCTCTGTTGTAGTGAGTCCTCCAGGTGATCTCACTGAAGTTGGAGAACCACTGAACTGTGCTGTCCTCTCCTCTCCCCTACTCAAGCTCTGTGCTGATAAACATTCCCACCAGAGAAGAACGGGCAGTAGAGTCACCTCGTAAGCCCTTAGATCTCACAGATTCCTAGGACTTACAGCAGCAAGTAATATGTGTATCACACTATATAAAAACCTATGGATGTGGGCGCCTGGGTGGCTCAGTTGGTTGAGCGACTGCCTTCGGCTCAGGTCATGATCCTGGAGTCCCGGGATCGAGTCCCGCATCGGGCTCTCTGCTTGGCAGGGAGTCTGCTTCTCCCTCTGACCTTCCCCCTCTCATGCTCTCTCTCTCTCAAATAAAAAAAAAAACCAACCTATGGATGACAGATCAGATGCATATTTATGGTGCTGTTTATAGGTGATTTTATGCGTATTGAGAATAAGCCCGTGCTTTTTTTAAGTCGTTCACAAACCTTTAAAAAAATATACTGTTCATCCACTTTAAAATGAGACTTTGGGTAGTAAAAATGCTAATGCCAACTGGTGGCTTTAAAAAAAAAAAAACCTAGAAGATTAAGAAATAAATTAAGAAGAGCGTACATCAGCGTTTCTCAATCTTGGCACTATGGACATCTAGGGCCAGATAATTCTTTGTTGCTGGGGGCTGTCCTGTGCATTGTGGGATGATTAGCAACGTCCTTGGCCTCTACTCGCTAGTGGCACTGCTCTCCTGTTCCCAGGAGGTGGCAACCAAAAATGTCTCTAAAGATGGCTGAATGCTCCCAGGGAAGCAAGATCACACCCCTATCCCACAGGTTGAAAACCATTGTTATACATAAAGGTTCACAGAGCTTGACTTTGATGTGATCAAAGATATCTCACTTACCCTCCTGATGTGAGCTGTTCCTAGAAACTCATCTCTACAAAGAGAGAACGACAGAATATCTCAGTTACTTGCATCTTTTAGAGAAGGAACTAGGGGCTGGGGTGAAGGCATGGCCCTGCCTTCTTCCCTGCACCATGAACTCATCCCCTTATCCCTCTAAGCCCACCTGGAGCCAGCCCACCTGCTTCCTGAAGCTTTTCCCAGCTACACCTTTCCCTATTGTCAGTCTGGTTTCCCCCCCAGAATTGGAAGGGAACTAAGAAAGGGTGGTGTCCCAAAAGTCAAAGAAAAAGTGCTTTCCAGAAGGAATAATGAGCCAGTGTGGAGCGTCATAGAAGTAGAACAAGCCCAGGACAGAAAGGAAAGCATCATGTCTGGCATTTATAGGAAGCCATCAAAATGGCCATTGAGGAAGACACTGACAATTTGACTCAGCGTTGGGTGTGGATGGCTGGTTTCAACAGTTTGAAGGATGAAAGACAAGGGAGGGAAGAGGGAACATGAGCAGGGGAGAGAAGTAGAGGGCAAGGATGGGGGAGGCCTTGCCGTCATGGCTCACAATCTACTCACCTTGCCCTCCTGGCACCCACTAGGGTCCGGGGTCCAAACCTCACCATGTTGTGTGTGAGCACATGCCTCTCCTCCTTCCAGCAATGAATCATCTGTACAGAGTAGCAACGTGCCAGTGAGTCACAAGGACTGGCTTCCCCCCTTCTGAGCTGAGAGGAACTTAATACGCCCTCACTGATTTACATATGATCTCAGGGGACTGAAAGAGCTATAAAGTAAACTCCGTGTCTGTCTCCTGTTCCAGAATTCCACAAGCCTCTTTATCTTGATGGGTTCCTTCCTGTGTGCTTCTTCAGGCAGACTTTGCATACAAACATATTTGCTATCAAGGAAGCACAATAAATCCTGCCCTACCACTGCAATGTACCCCAAAAAATCTCGTAAATTGGACCCAAATGTTCACTGCAGAAGAATTCAGAAAACTATGAGAGAAGAATGTCTCTAGTCAAAGGGGTCTGAACTGGAACCCAGAGTAATCACCAATCATCCTCCAGCTGTTTTGTCATCACTCTTATTTTCTTTGTAGCACATAAGGAAGCATTTACTTGGTTTTTTTTGTCTGTCTTCCTGACTAAAATGTAGGCTTCATGAGAGGAAAGGCTTTTTCTGCCCTGATCAGCAGAGTATCTCTGAAGCCTAGAACTGTGTCTGGCATGTAGTATATAATCAATAAATGTTGATTGGTGGATGGATGGATGGATGGATGGATGGATGGATGGATGGATGGATAGATGGGTGGTTGGATGGACAGATGGATAGATGAATGGATGGATGGATGGATAGATGGTTGGGTGGGTGGATGGATGGGTGAATGGATGAATAGATAAATGGATGGATGGATGGATGGATGGGTGGATGGGTGGGTGGGTAGATGGTTGGATGGGTGGTAGATTGTTGGGTAGGTGGATAGATGGATAGATGGATGGGTGAATGAGTGGATGGATGAATAGATAAATGGGTAGGTGGGTGCTAAATGAGTAGGTAGATAGATGGATGGATGGGTGGATGGGATGGTTAGGGAGGTGGACTGATGAGTCCATCTGTCTCTATCTCTCAGGCCTAATTATGCAACCCTACCTAATAAAGGCCCACCACGGTTTCTATTGTAATCTAATTCCATCCTAACTGAATGGAGAGTCTTCAATTTAAACAAACAAAAAAATACATTGACTCACTTTTTTATCTTTTGTTCCACATGCCTCCTCACTAGGAAACAGGAAAGTGGATCCATTAGAATATTTCCTTCTTTTGATCAGTCACGAGTAATTCAGAATATGAAGCTACCTTCTCAAATCTACAGAATTATTTAAACCTGAGGTTTCTTGGTGAGAAGAACTTTGCCCCAGATTCCCCCCGATTCCGTAAACCCTGGAGGAGAAGGGGGGCCTCAGACTCATTCTATTTCCATGCCCTGGCTTGGCATTACCTGGCTGTCAGGAAATGAGGGAATTATGGCCATTTCTAGAGGTTCCATCCAACAGAAGGGGAGAGGGCTCAGGTCCACCTCATGTCATGTGTATTCAATAAGGACATGCTCATTTTTGATACTGATGCATTTTGAGGGTTTACATAATGAATAGCCTAGTGTATGCATAAATATCCTCCCGCTTTCTCTGTCCGCAATGTAAATCATCTGAAAATGCCAAGCCAGCTAAGCCTTCTCGTACAAATGTTTTAAAAGCAAGCAATTCAAGAATTTGATCCGGCTAAAAACTTGGACTGGTCTCTAGTGACTAAAAGGGGGCTCTTCCTCTCAGCTCAGCCACAAAGTCTCAGCCTGCCTCCCTTCAAAGGCAGTTCTTCACCCACCAGTTCTATCAAATCCCTCCTGATTATCTGTACTTCCCACTTAGAGACTCAACATGTTCCTGCAAATCCAAACAGAAAGCCAGTAAGGCAGAACCTAGCTACCCATGCATCTGGTCCAACAGGACCATTCTGGTGGTTTGATCTGTCCTAGAGGGAAATGCAGAGAGGGAAAGTAATGACTTGGAGGAGTGAACAGCAGAACTTGGCAAAGTAACATGGAGTGAGCAGAGGTGATCTGCATTAGAGTCCCCAGGACCTCTTCCTCCTCAGCCACAGCTCCTCCTGCTGCCCTTCAGTTAGGGGCTAAACACTTCCTGACTCTTCCCATGAGAATGTAAGAGTGAATTCCCAATAACGCCACAATTATTCCTTTTAAATTCCTCTGCAGCATATCGTAAGACCCAAGAGATGCTGACTGTACATGCGCGTGCATGTACTTTTAAAGACTTAAAAAAGTCTAGATTACCTTTTGCCAAAGTTTTCTAGGGTTCCTGAAGTGCCATCATCCCAGTACTTCTAAAGAGGCGTGTTTACTCACCAGGGAGCCAAGGTCTTGACCTTCTTCCTCCAGACTGCAGAGTAGATGTTCTCCAAAGATGACTTGACTTTTCTTACCTCCAAGGGCACTGACCCATGGTACATGCTCTGCAGCTTTCTGAAGGCATTCAAGCCCCTTCCTCCTTGGAGGACTTTCCAGCATCCGTAGAAGTAACTGAAGATACCAAGAGGCCTTCCTTCCAGTATAAGAAAGGTGAGAAAGAATAAAGAGGGATTATATGGGGAAATATCTTTTCTGGTATTTTTTAAATTGAGCTATTTCTAATACACAATAAAGTATACAGACCTTCTGTGTCCAGCTCAGTGGAATTTTACGTGTCTGTACCCACGTAATCACTGCACAAATCAAGTTACAGAATGTTTCTAGCACCCAAGAGTGTTTCCTCCTACCTAGTCAATAGCTGTCCCCCAGAAGCAACCACCAATGATGTCTACCACCCATAGACAATTTTTACCTGTTGGGTTTCATAAAAATGAAATCATAGAGTGTACTTTGTGTGTGTGTGTTTTGCTTCTTTTGCTTACACGATTTCTTTATGAGTCAATTCCGCTTGTTGCATATGTCGATACTTTGTATTTTTTAAATTGAAATATAGTTAACACACAAGGCTACATTGGTTTCAGGTGTGCAACACAGTGATTCAATCTCTCTATACATTATGCTATGCTCACCAGAAGGGTAGTGACCATCCGCCACCGCATTATGCTATTCCAATGCCACTGACTGTATTTCCCTATGCTATACCTTTCATCCCAATGACTTACTCCTTCAATAACTGGAAGCCTGGACCTCCCACTCTCCTCCACCCATCTTGCCTATCCTCCCATTCCCTCCTCTCGGGGCACCCACCAGTTTATTCCTTGTATTTATGCACCTGTTTCTGCTTTTTGTTTGTTCGTTCGTTTGTTCTGTTTTTTTTAGATTCCATATATAAGTAAAAGTACATGGTGTTTGTCTGTGACTGACATATTTCACTTAGCGTAACACCCTCTAGTTCCGTTCATGTTGTCACAAATGGCAAGATCTCATTCTTTTTATGGTTGAATAATATTCCATTGTATATATACACCACATCTTTATCCATTCATCTATGGATAGACACTTGGGCTACTTCCATATCTTGGCTATTGTAAACTAATGCTGCAATAAACATAGGGGTGCATATATATCTTTTTGAATTATTGTTTTCATATTCTTTGGGTACATACCCAGTAGTGGAATTACTGGATCTATGGTATTTAATTTTTTGAGGAACCTCCATACTCCTTTCCACAGTGGCTGCACCAGTTTTCATTCCCACCAACAGGGCACAAGAGTTCTTTTTTCTCCACATCCTCACCAACGCCTGTTGTTTCTTGTGTTTTGGATTTTTGCCATTCTGACAGGTGTGAGGTGATATCTCACTGTGGTTTTGATTTGCATTTCCCTGATGGTGAGTGATGCTGAGCATCTGTTCGCATGTCTATTGGCCATCTGGATGTCTTCTTTGGAAAAAATGTCTAGTAGTTTGTATTTTCGTTTTGTTTTGTTTTGCTGCAAGGTATTCCATTAAATGAGCATTTCACAGTATATTCCCTCCAGGGATATTTTCTATAGACCTGAAGTTGCATTTACTCATCTTGTCATCTGCCACATCCGTTCTGCTCTTAAATCCACCTACTGCTACTCCATTTATGTTTCATTTTTAGAATTCCCATTTGACTAATTTTTTAAAGATTTTATTTATTTATTTGTCAGAGAGAGAGCACAAGCAGGGGGAGTGGCAGGCAGAGGGCGAAGCAGACTCCCCGCTGAGCAAGGAGTCTGATGCAGGACTCAATCCCAGGACCCTGGGATCATGACCTGAGCCGAAGGGAGACGCTTAACCAACTGAGCCACCCAGGAGTCCCCCATCTGACTATTTTTAAACAAAGATTCTAGTTTTCTGGTGCAATTTCTATGTTCTTGAGTTAATTAGAGTTGTTTTCAAGTCTTTGCCTGCTCATCCTAATATCTTAATGGAAACTACATTTCACATGCCCTGCATTACATGGATTTCATCTTGGCTTGCAGCTCAAAGCAATAAAATCCTAACCTGAACTGCTGAGCATCACTGCCAAGAGAATTTCCAACAGATCCTTCTAGTTCCTTCATAAATGATCTATGGGCTCCTTCAGAGGCAAAATGACCCACCAAGTTTTTTTAAATAAACCAATTCTTGGCAGGTTAATGCGCTGGCTCTATTATGTTTGAGAACATCCTGACTGAGGTCATTCCAGGGCTCCCATGAAGCAGTTCCCAAATGAAATGGCTATAGTTTTGCAACAACGGGTCAGAAAACATCAAAGTCAAAAATTGCTTCATGCCGGATTCCACCCCCCCCTCTTTAAGCAGGGCTTTATGACTTTAGATTCTCTGTCCTCTCAGCAAATGCTTCCAGTAAGAATCCCCCCTACCTGGTTCAAATCTTTCATTTGGATTTGGGTGGGATTCGTGCATCTTGGTTTTCTAAAATAGAAAAAGACAATAGGTTATAAGATAGAAATTTTCCTGAAGTACAGCTTTTATTCTGTTGCTTCCTTGGTCCAAAGAACTCAGTGGCTCCTCACTGCCCATCCCAGCACCCACAGACCTCTCTTTCAGATTTGTATTTAATTAACATCTTATGCAAACCTACTGCTTCAGCTAAGCTAGCCTGCTCCCGAAACATCTCTAGTGTCACATGCTGGCTTACATGTGACAATACAC